ACAGGCACCCGCCACAATGCCTGGCTGTTTTTTGGTGGGCCCTGGCTGGATTCGAACCCACCACCTTAGGTGTATGTGGCTGGCACCTTAGCCACTTGAGCCACAGGTGCCAAGCCATTTTCCTAAATTTCAATTTCAACTCCATTTTCTTTTGTTATTTCCAACTAGACTGATACAATCGATTCTTAAAAAACAAAATGGTGAGTCATCTTTTTCTTTTTTGAGACAGGGTTTCACTCTCACTCAGGGTGGAGTGCAGTGGTACAATCCTAGCTTGCTGTAGCCTTTAACTCCTGGGCTCCAGTGATCCTCCTGCCTCAGTGTCCCAGGTAGCCTGCCACACTTGGCTAATTTTTCTCATTTTTTTGTAGAGATAGGGTCTTGCTATCTTGCTCAGGCTGGTCTCAAATTCCTGGCCTCAAGTGATCTTCCTGCCTGGGCCTCCCAAAGTCCTGGGATTACAGGCCTGAGCCACTGCACCTGGCTCTGATTTGAGTAAATGATTGAACACACATTTGTAAATAAATAGTGAAGAACTATTTTTAGAAGAATGTATTTTTAAAAATACATGTGTTATGTTTTCACCTTAAAACACAGGAAGTAAGAACCCTAATGTTCAGAGGAACCCAAATGTTCAAAACTGACAGGCCTTGCTTATGTGAAACATGCTTGGGGACTGCTGGCTAACCACACTTCTTTATGTGACATATTTATTATAGCTACATCACATTCTCCTCGCAGAAGCTACTTTGCTGTTCTTGAGGGTAGAGCTCAGTCTTCTCCCTCTCGGCGTGCTGGCACCTGTCAAGAGTGCTCACAGCACGCATGGGTGCTTCCACGGGAAAACTAACTGTGCAGGACGGCTACTGGACATGAACTTGCTTTCTTTCTCTGCTCTTGAGAGGGGTACAAAAGGCTTTCACAGTCATCACCTCCCAGGATATCACCTTCTGCTTTGCCGGTTTCGAATACATGTGATCTGTTCTCAGCCAACCTTTGGGGGACTCCAGGAGGATGGAACAAACATGGTGGCCCTGACCTTGCCGCTCTCCAGGAGGCTCAGCTGAGGGGCTTCTGGCCAGTCTGTGTCTGACATGGTCCTGCCATGTCCCTGCTGCTCTAAGCCTTCCATCGGGGCAGATGCATGCAGCTCTTGGGGTAGGCCACTCTGAAAGCCAGCAAGGGTCACTGGGGGCACTTAAGCTCAGTCTCGGTTTATGAACACAATGTGTAAAACATCAAAAATGCTACCCATATCGAAGTGAGAGCTTTTAATCTGTTTCAATAATTTTAAGAATTCAAACTTCGATATGTTTAAAACACTTTTTTTCTATACACAGATAGTATGTACTAAGTCTTATCCCTTAATAACTTAAACATTGCTATCAAACAATTTCAGAATACACTTATTTGCAAAAGCTATATGAGTCCCATCCATGAAACCCCTCATGACTGATGGACACCTTCAGATGTCCAGGGCTAACCTTCACTAACCTAGACTGCATGTAAAATCAGGGAACTGGAGATTATTTCCATAATCACAGTGGAAAAAAGAGAAGGTTTCAAAGTGCCTATTCTATACCACACTGTGAATACTATGTGTGTGTGCATATGTATATATGTATATAATAAGTCCCTCAGATATATCAAGAAGTGACATTCAGTTATTAACAAAGCATTGGCAAGACTCCCTTGGAATAGCATTGTATTCTATTCTTGTCACCTTTTCTGAGGACTAACAAAAACACATGCTAGATGGCTGGCCTTAAGAAGCAGGGCTACAAATCATACTTTGTTGTTTTAGGTGGGGAAGTATGTATGGTTTGGGCAGGTCCTAATAGAATCCTCAGGTTCTGCACTTTTCCAACCTTTTCTTTTTCACCGACCAGCGGTCCCTTTTCCTAAGTTAACAGCTTTTTGTATATGCTGTTATTCAGGTTACTGGAGCAGGTGTCCATCTTACTTGCCATCAGCTGACCACTGCTGTTGTAGCTGCTGGCACTGGAGCTCTCTTTGCAGCACAGGATGCTGTAGAGGTGTCTCTGGCACTCAGAGGAAGCATAATAGTAAATCAAGGGGTCAATGCAACAGCTGATGCTGCTGACACAGACACAGAGGAGGTAGGCGAAGTAGGCAGCCTCTGTGGAGGAATCACGAGAAAAGAACGAATAATGCATGATCAGGAGGACGTTGGTGGGCCCGAAGCAAAGGATGAAGATGCAGAAAACAGCAGCTGACAAGAACAAAGCCCGGGACTTCTTACTGCGGTTGGCAACCGTGGAAGAGCTGAGACACCGAATGATAGACACGTAGCAGACTGTGGAAATGATCAAGGGCATGAAGAAGAAGACCGCGGAGAAGGCTGAGAAGTAATAGGCGTAATAGCCTTCGAGCAGGGTTTCATTGAGCACATCGTGACAGGTGGTTATGTTGAGCCCCGGCACCTGGCTGGTTTGCTCCTTGAGGAGAAGAGGCACCACCCCTGCAATGGCCATAGCCCAGATGGCCAGACAAGTGACATAAGCCCGTCCCAGAGTGCGCCAGGAGAGGGACTGGATGGGGTACACCACGGCCAGGAAACGGTCAATGCTGATGACCGTCATGAGCATGATGGAGGCGTACATGTTACAGTAGAAAGCTGCCGTGACAAGGCGACACGCTTCAGACCCAAACTGCCAATTGCTGCCAGAAAAGTAATAGCTGATCTTGAAGGGGAGCAGGGACACGAACAGCACGTCGGCCGTGGCCAGGTGCAGCATGTACACGACAGCCGGCTTCTTGACCTTCATTCTCAAGAGGAACACAACAACGGCCATGATGTTGAGCGGGAGACTGACTACAAACACGCCCGTGTAGACGGAGGGGACGAAGAGAGTCAGCCAGGGGCTGGTCAGATATCTGGAGGCATCCTCGGAGATGAACACAGGGGGTGGCTTCCGAAGAGGCCGGCTTTCATTGGTGGACACTGATCTGGCTTCTGTTACAGCACTTCCGTTGTTCTCCTCATCCTCCCCCAGCGGGAACGGTTCATAGCCATCATTGACATTCCTCAGAGCAAACGACCGGGGATCCACAGTACCGTTTGTTGCTTTTAACTCTGAAAAAGACAATTAAAAAAATTTTTTTTTAAGTGAATGAATGAAAAGGGCAGAAGAGACGAAGAGAGGGCATATTTTACTTTTGCTTAACTTTTGTTTTCTTACAAGGAGAGTAGGTGGTAAAGAGCAGGGCTTGCACAGATAACCATTATCAGAGAATAAGCTAACTCAGAATCTCATGCCACGTTTTGTTTTGATGTAAGCAAACCCTTTTAAAACTCTGCTCCTCAACGGGCCAAGGGTGAATGCTGCACTTTCAGAGGTCTACCCTGCAGAGACATGGAGAAATTCCTGGCATGAAGGAATCAACAGTGATTTCTTTTCTGTGCTAGCCACTGTCTACATAAACATCACTCCCAGCTTCTGGGATTTTTCACATGCCTTCCTGTGCACATTTTCCCCAGTTAGCTTTTATTTATTTATTTATTTATTTGGAGACAGAGTCTCACTCTGTCACCCTGGGTAGAGTGCTGTGGCATCATCATAGCTCACAGCAACCTCAAACTCCTGTGTTGAAGGATTCTCCTGCTTCAGCTTCCCGAGTAGCTGGGACTCCAGGTGCCCACTACCACGCCCGGCTAATGTTTCTATTTTTAGTAGAGATGGGGTCTTGCTCTGGCTCAGGCTGGTCTCAAACTCCTGAGCTCAAGCAATCAACCTGCCTCAGCCTCTCAAAGGATTACAGGCCTGGCTCAGCGCCTATGGCTCAAGTGGCTAAGGCGCCAGCCACATACACCTAAGGTGGCGAGTTCAAATCCAGCCCGGGCCTGCCAAACAATAATGACGGCTGCAACCAAAAAATAGCTGGGCGTTGTGGTGGGCACCTGTGGTCCCAGCTACTTGGGAGGCTGAGGCAAGAGACTCACTTGAGCCCAGGAGTTGGAGGTTGCTGTGAGCAGTGAAGCCATGCCACTCTACTCAGGGGCTCAGCTTGAGGCTCTGCCTCAAAAAAAAAAAAAGGTTACAGGCCTGAGCCACTGTGTCCAGCCCATTTTCTCCATTTAGTTTGCAACCATCTCAGGAATCACCTTCACTATGGAAAAATCCACAAAGAAAGTGGAGGGGACTCATTAAATGTTATGGAGCTAGAGGCAAATTCTGTAGGAGTCAGGACTCCAAGCTCGCTGTGTCATGTCTGGGAACAGCAGCTTTCCTCTACTATCTTTTAGCTTGTTTACACAGTAGAATGCAGAAATCTGTCATCATATCTGGGGCCAAAACACAGTCCCTCAGGTTATCTCCTAGCACAGCCATACCGTCCCTATCACTCCAGTCATTGTCCTGCTTCCTTCCTGAGCAGGTTGACAGCAGCAGCTGTTCTTGGCCACTCACGCCAGGCCAAAGGCCTCCCTCGGCTGGGCTGTAGAATGCTCTATGCCTTAAGGTGCTTGCTAGGTCAATCAGGGTCTTTGGAGTATCAACCAGGTGTCAAAATAAAGCCTCCCACCAAAGAGATCCATTTGAAATGTTCAGCAAAGAAAAGCAACACTTAACAGCTTTTCTTCCCAAGAAGCTTTGCTAAAATTCTGCCACTGGAGGCTCAGGCCTGTAATCCTAGCACTCTGGGAGGCTGAGGCTGGAGGACTGATTGAGCTCAGGAGTTTGAGACCAGCCTGAACAAGAGCAAGCCCCCATCTCTACTAAAAATAGCCAGGCATTGTAGAGGTGCCTGTAGTCCCAGCTACTCAGGAGGCTGAGACAGGAGGATTGCTTGAGCCCAAGAGTTTGATGTTGCTGTGAGCTATGATGAAGCCACGGCCTCTACCAGGGGCAACAAAATGAGACTCTGCCTCAAAAAAAAAAAAAAAATCTGTGTACACTGTTGGTATAAATACTTGTATAAGTTAGCACAACTGTTATTGAAAATAGTATGGAGGTTCTTCAAAAAATCGAAGATAGGACTATCATATGCTCCAGCAATCCCACTATTTGATATATTCAAATGAAATTAAATCAGTATGTCAAGAAGATATCTACACTCCTGTGTGCATTGCAGCATTATTTATAATAGCCAAGATTTTGAATCATCTAAGTGTCCACTGATGGATGAATGAATGGATAAAGAAATTTTGTGGCTGGGTGCAGTGGCTCACATCTTTAATCCTAGCACTCTGGGAGGATGAGGTGGGTGGACTGCTGGAACTCAGGAGTTTGACATGAGCCTAAGCAAAAACAAGACCCCGTCTCTGCTAAAAATAGATAAAATCAGCCACCCATTATGGCGGGCATCTGTAGTCCCAGATACTCAGGAGGCTGAGGCAAGAGGATTGCTTGAGCCCAAAAGTTTGAGGTTGCTGTGAGCCATGATGACTCGGAGGCATTTACAACCCAGGGTGATAGAGTAAGAGTCTGTCTAAAAGAAAGAAAGAAAGAGAAAGAAGGGAGGAAGGAAAGAAAGAGAGAGAGGAAAGAAGGAAGGAAGGGAGGAAGGGAGAGAAGGAAGGAAGAAAAGAAATCATGTATGTACATAAAGGGAATTCAGCTTTAAAAAAAAATCTTGTCATTTTCAACAATGTGGATGGAAATAGAGGACCTTATGTTAAGTGACATGTCAGGCACAGAAAGACACACTGCATAAGCTCTATTACTACATGCAAAATCTAAAAAGTTGAACTCATAGAAGCAGAGAGGAGAATGGTGGCTACCAGAGGCTAGAGAACAGGGTGGATTGGGAAGACATTGGTTGAAGGATGTAATATTTCATTTAGACAGGAGAAAAAAGTTCCAGAGATCGACTGCACAATGTGATTACTGTGGTTACTAACCATGTACTGTATACTTACAAATTGCTTATAGATTTTAAGTGTTCTTATTACAAAAAATAAGCATCTAATGTAATACATGTTAATTAGCTTAATTTAGCTATCCCACAATGTGTACATATTTCAAAACATCATGGTATAGAAGATAAATATATATAATTACTAGTCAATGAAAAAAATAAGGTGGAATCAGAAAAGTATGACCCAGCTTCAAGTAAAAAGACAATCAATGGAAACCAATTTCAAGATGTCAAATGTTGGAATTAGCAGATAAGGATTTGATAGAATGTATTTCAACTATGCACAATAAAGTAAAGAAAAATATCTCATTGAAACAAGTGAAGAAATAGGATATATAAGTAAAGAACTAACAAAGAGATGTTCTAGACCTAGAAAAAAAAATAGGACATACTGGCATCAATTTCCAAAAGGAAGAGCCAAGCAAAGAGTAGAGTGAGCAGAGACACGGGCCCAGCCCAGCAGTGTAAAGCTGAGATGGGATGACCACAGCCAGGTCCTGGGCAGGTCCCCAGCGGGTGGAGGGGTGACCTGCAGGAGATAGATAGGGTCAGGACAAACATGATGTGATGAGTCCCTAAGTACATGTTTGTGTCTAGATTGACTCTCGAAGATAAGAACTGGTTCTATTAATCTCTGAATCTCCCGCATTGAGCCGGGCACATGGTAGGTACTCCTTCAATTAGTCACATGTTTGCATCCTAATATTGGCTCTGCCAGAGGCCACTTAACCTCTCTGAACTCAGCTCAGAATTATTTAAATGGGGCTCTGACGTCTATCATTGGCAGCCAGGAGCATCCCATATAAAATAGGCCATACACCCACTTTGGAAACTCAAAACTGAGCAATGTAAGAAACTATTATTACCTTTTCCCTCCCACTTCCACGTGGTGTGCTTTTAGATCCAACGGTTTGCTCACTTAATTATTTTATTTATTTATTATTATTTTTTGAAACAGAATCTCACTTTGTCACTCTTGGTAGAGTCCCGTGGCATCAAAGCTCACAGCAACCTTATACTCCTGGGCTTAAGCAATTCTCTTGCCTTAGCCTCCCAAGGAGCTGGGACTACAGGTGTCCACCACAATGCCCAACTATTTTTAGAGAGGACATCTCACTCTGGCTCAGGCTGGTCTCAAATCTGTGAGCTCTGGCAATCTACCGGCCTTGGTCTCCTAAGTGCTAAGATTACAGGTGTAAGCCACTAAGCCTGGCTCACTTAATTATTTTAAATTAAAATGAAATCTAGGCTCCTCTTCCATCCTATGTCAGCAATGTTTGGTTTTTCAGTGTGATAAGGGACAAGAGCAGGTTGTAAAGTGTATAGGCCAAGAGTTCAGAATAATAAATCAGATTTTGAATTCACAGCCCTTTCTAGAAGCAACACTTTCTTCTCTTTGTGATTCATCTAATTCCTCTCTGTTCACCTTGACCCAGTCACATTGAGGCCTGACAACTCTTGAGGGATGTGAAGCTATCCTGAAGGTCATAATGATTGTGTGGGAATTGAAAGAAAAGAATGAACGGGGCTAGGCACCCATAGCTCAGTGGTTAGTCATGCTTTGGGGCCGGTGGGTTCGAACCCAGCCCGGGCCTGCTAAACAACAACAAAAAAAAATGACACCATAGCACTCTACTGAGGGTGACAAAGTGAGATATTGTCTCAATTAAAAAAAAAGAAAAGAAAAGAATGAATGGATTCAGGCACTTTAATAGCACAAAAACTTGCATCCATAAAAATGCTGACCTAAGGGAACCTTGAAATAACACGTTCTCTTCTGTAGCTGTAGGATCCTGGCTAGACTGAGAACTTCAGTAGTGATCAAGGGGGGAAAGTGCACATGAACACACACACGGAAATCAAGATGACACCCAGAAGAGGAATATAACTGGACAACTACTGATTGCTCATAACCAAGCTTAGACGTATCACTTGGTCTGAAAAGAAAACTGTCATCAGGCTTTACTCAGTGTTTAATCCTTTGGTAATACGTGTTTCAAAAATGCCTCCCCTGGCTAGGCCTTCTCAGACACTACAGTGTTCATGACAGAAACCTTATACTCATGGAAACATGACATTTTTATAGGCTATAACCCAAAAGGAATGCCTAATCCCTTGATTAAATATCACTGCCCGAGGTGTTACCTTTTGTAACAGGCAACACTGTTTAAATGTCAGGGGAAAAAAAGATTGGAAAAGAAATGCAAGGTGACTAAG